CCGCACCGGCAGTCAATACTGGCGGGTTATCGCATACCGGTACGGCGGCCGCTATCGCTGCCGCGGCCGCTGCAGCAGCCAACACAGTGACGAATAACAAAAGTTCACAAATGATCAATGCACACCAGCAATGCATGTTATCAGCTCGAGACATGATGCCCAGACTTTTATGTGAGTATATTTTACAGTGAAATAACAAAATATGGAAAAACTTTTTAAAAGTGACACATTGACGACCATTTTCTATTATATTTACAAGTTTGGATATTTTTTGCGTACACATCAAATAAATTTACTATTGGGGAATGTTGTATTAGAAAATATTTGCAAAAAACAGACCACGAAATAATATTATTTTGCTTATAGTCTTTAAGTTTTACGCATAAAATCAGTAACAGTGTTATTTTACTCTTGTTCGGTGCGGTATTTTCACGAGGTTAGTGTATTTTAATACTGTCGATAATCTAAGTATTTGTTAAGTGTTACCTGGTGCATTCGAGGAAACAACACAATAATTTTATAATTATTATGATTGCATGTCAACCGTGGACCCCATTTAAACACCACGGTTATAATTTTATACTTTAACAAGTTTAGAGCGGCAAACCTGCACCTTAAATTATTCATTTATGTCGTTTTAATAGCAATTAATACCACTTGTGTTTAGTATTAATGTGTATTATCATCTCGTACGGTTACGGAGCCTGTTACTGGCATTTTAAGTTGTTTGAACTACATGCAAATAAATTTCCATTCATCAATCAATTTTTGTTGCCATACAACGTTCATAAAAATTAATCAATAATTTAGTCATTATTAATAAACTTTTTATTTGCGACGAAAACGTTTTTTTAACGCGAATCTGAGTTTTCTAAGCTAAACCACAAAGAACAATGTATACAGATGAAGTCTTAACAGCATATTTTTATAAGGCGTCTATTATTGTGCATGGTGCACAAATTATTATTGTTATAGTGTTAAGTGCGTGTTGCTGTAGGCGTCTTCTGAGCATATTTGTAATGATCATGTAAACGTGCACACACTAATTAGCATCCTGCAATTACGGTTAAGCCACTAAAAAGAATAATCATGAAAATAAATATGAAGCGACTTGGAAAAGTAATATTTTCTAAACTAACCATTAGAAGCACCTCTTGCCCTTTATCGTTGTGTCACATCGGGGCGTTTGTCACTGGGTTCCGTGCAAATAATTACAATTAAATTGTACGTATATAAAAAAAATAATAATAATCGTTTTACCGACACGATTCGACCTACGTCCCCGTTTATCTTTCGGTATTATCTGTTTTCTATGTGTCATTTTCATAGGACATAAAAAATGCATACGCTTCCGGAATATCATGAAGTATCATTCATGTGTACAAATTGCTATGGTCAGATAATTTTAAATAAATCTTTTATTTTTCTGGCGCTACAATTGCAAAAAACAAAGCTAACTTCATCATTAAATCTGAACAACAATCACAATATTAAATAACTCTTTGAAAAATTGAGCAATGTTATGTAACTATTTTACTTTTTTCAAATACAATATTACCTTTTTTAAATATCTATTGACCCGTTTTTTTAAATTCACTATTAATTATTATATTTACTGTTCGCTTTTTATTTTTAATGAGTAGAATAGTGTAATATTTTTTATTCATTATTAGAACAGAACTACTAACATGACAGAATAAAACATAACTGAAAAATTAAGATTATATAAACAGTTTATATTTTCACAGCAACAGAAGGTGACATTAAAGATGACGAAAGTATCGGAAGTGGAAGTGGTGGCGAACAACCAAAATTTAGGCGAAATAGAACAACTTTTAGTCCAGATCAACTTGATGAGTTAGAAAAAGAATTCGATAAAAGTCACTATCCTTGTGTGAGCACTAGAGAGAGACTAGCTGCCAAAACGAGCTTATCAGAAGCAAGAGTACAGGTAAGCTTGAAGTCTCTAGTGATAAATATCAAAGGGCTTAAGATCTATATGATTATGTTTTCAGTATAAATATATAAGAAACTTGATAGTATACAACCAGACCTCATAATTTATATTAGTAATAAGTGTTATACTGATATGAATTTAAAAATATTGTTTGTAGCCAATTAAAAAAACCAAACATGTGCAAACAAAAAATGAAATGTAACTGAAAAGGTTTAACTATTATTTTATGAAAACTTTTTAATTTAAGTTTGATATTTTATGAATTGCACTTTTATCATTAAAATTAAACATAAACGATTTACTAAAGACATAATAATGTGTTTTAAGTATTAAGGACAACGAACGTGTTTCAATCGTACGTAACTGTTTATAACTTTTTTACTGAGATTACCTAAACATACAATGGACGAAAATTGTCCACCTTAAAATCAAACAAACTTCATAGAGATGTTATATTTTAAAAATGATGCTCTATTTGTATTATGAATATAAAGTAATTTTAAAAATTGATATTAAATTCAAAATTAGCGAACTTAGAGAGAAAAAGAATAGAAAACTTCAAGATAATTTTGTCATAAATCAGGAGGTATTGGTTTGAACAAGTCAATTGATTTAACTGTCAGCTTTACTTTAGGATTTTTTTTTGTTATAATAGTTAAAAAAAAAGTGGAATATTGTCTTGACCTCTTTAAAACTTTTCTCCATTACTGTACTGAAATAGCGCTAAAACACGAAATTTCGTATTTAGCTTATTAGTTTTTTGAACCAAATTCACAACTTACGTAGGTATCCCTAGGTCCTTTTTAAAAAAATTTGGAATTGCTAGAAGTTATGATCCTTGTTTATAATTAACAATATTTTTTTATCTAAAAATACAAAACATCTTATTAATTGATATATTTAAGTAAATTTTAGGTAAAAATGAAAATTGAAATTAATGAAAATGTGGAATTTCAGTTTTTCTTTTGACACTTGAGCTTTTATTGAATATCATTTAATGGTTATTTTCAGGTGTGGTTTTCGAACCGAAGGGCCAAATGGCGGCGACACCAGCGCATGAACAAATCACGTCGTTCGACTGGTATGGCGGCCGCTTCAACTGTTTCGGGAAGCAGTGGCGGCTCAACTGGTACTCCCACGCCGCCTGTCGTGTCGCCAATGTCTGATGCCATGACAATCGCAGGCGGCAGCGTAGTGCCGTCTCGCTGTTTGGGAAGTGGCGAAACTAGCGCTTTTCGTTCGCTAGTACCCTCGTTTCGCGATACACCGACCGACAATGGATACGGTTACGCCGCGTCCGAATCGTCTGAAGAGATCAACGTGACCACTGATGATGATGAACCGACGGGCGACGACAACGGTGAACACCGTTCGAATGGATCATCGCCGTATAACAATAACAATAACATCGAAGACAACAGCGGCAGTGATACTCGCAAAGACACATTGACCGTAGACGAACAAAGACAGTCACCATCACCACTTTATCGTTTTTCTGGTGATCGTCAACCATTTTTCGGACTAGGTGATCCAAAATCTGCGGATCATCACCATAACGTATTGTCTTCAATAGCCTCATGGAGAGAAATGGCTGCGTTCACGGCACTTCACCACCGCGCAATGGAATCGGAAGCGGCCGCAAAAGTGGCGGCTGCGGCAGCGGCAGCGGCAGCCACCGGAGTACAACCATTGCAATTAACTAAGTACGACAAAGACAGAGCGTGAAGTACTCATGTGATAATTTTTTATTGGCTTTAGTTAAATATTCATTACATTTTAACTGTTGACGGTGAATTTGAAATCATAAATCATACTACTGTCCAGAATTAAATTATTGTATTACTAAGAATTGATAAAAATCAATTGGTATCGTTCGAAAATCACATGACAATATGTTTTTATTTCATTTCAAGTATCGTTGAAGTAATAATTGAGGTGGTTAAATGGATTTTGTTTTGTAATTATCTAAACAAATCACAAAATGTATCATAGAATTTTAGCTTTTAAGGTTCAACTAATAATTAGTAAAATTATTAATGAAAATAAATTTAGTTTAAGTAGTTATTGAGTGTCTGGGAAATAAAAACATTACTTTATTAGAGAGGTAATGATATCTACATAAGCCTATAAGTGCTTTAGACTTAAAAAACTGTAGTGTAGTTAATATAACTATTGAAATTTATTTTAAAATTAGTGAAGTTTTTTAGTAAAAATTTAAGAGTGTGAATCGTTTTTGTTATTACGAAATAGTATCTGTAAAAATTACTATAATTATAAATATTTTTTTTTTTATAAATATAAGAAAGACGGGGCTACAGTTTTATAAGTCCTTTATTAGTTTTTTGAACGGAAGTATGTTTTCACACGCAAACTATTTTACTACGTCATTTAGCGCACAAATTAACGAGTAAACAGCCATAATTTTTTCGTATTCTTTTTAATAATAAATCTGCAGCTATTGCTAACCAATATAATAGTAAATATAACACATGTAGAAAATACTACATTACAATTCTTAGGAGGAATTTTTAATATGCAGAAACAAAAAAAAGAAGAAAAAACGTTTTTTTGGTTAATTTCAGAAGATGGACGGTTCTTGTCAATAATTACTGTATACAGACTTTATGATTTATAAGATCAATTTCGAAAGGAATTTTCATTTATAACATTTTTAATGACTTTTGAAAATAATGATTTTTTACTCGACCATCTTCTTGAAAAATAAATAGTTCATATTTATCATTCTTCAAAGAAATTAAAGCTATGTTACTAGGATAATTTTGTATTTATTTTTATTCTATTGTCTTGTCTGTGATATATTATTATTTGTTCAGCCTATATGAACATTTTATTTTTTATTTTTTTGTTGTATTAAAAATGTTAATTAATTTTATTTATTCCTATATGCAAATTCAAGTGTAGATACTGTATCATATATTCACTTTTATAAAACTAAGTTATTACAGCATAAAAAGTACGAAATTGTATATATTTAATGCACAATAAACCAAACTATAATGATATTTGTTTTTTTATTTATTTTATATGCAGATAAATTATACGCGGATATAATAATTTTGTCATTTCTACTGCAATGCCTATGTATTAGCCATAGTCGTAGAGTGGTGGGGCTAGAAGGTCTTAAAATTCCTGGCCCAATCCATCATGCTCATAGGATGGCCAAGGCCACTTATGGTTTGAACATTTTTTTTGTTTCGCGGCAAATTTGAATTGTCAATCAAAGAGTTACTTATTTAAATAATGTTCGTTCATTATGTATTTTTATTACAAGTTTATATAGTTTCTGGTTGTATATAAATTTGTAAGTGAACATTATTTTAGCTTCAATGTGAAACTGAGAAGGTATTAATTTTACTCTGATGTATTTTTTTTAATTAAAATTAAAAAAAATTGTAGGTTTTGAATAGTAAATAATAGGAAAAATGTCGAATTAAAAATGTATAGAAAATTAAATTTAAAACAACGGTTAAATTAATTTTTTTTATGTTTTTATAATGAACGATTTATAAATTAACAGTTTTAACGGTAAAAATAAAACATATACGTTTTTATTTTTTTAGGCCTAAATAAGAACTTTTTGAACATTTTTGTTTACATACTTTTTATAGAAAAATTGTATGCCTACAAAAAAGGTCGAATAAAATTTTTCGCAAAAGCTAAAGTTTTTGAGATAGAAATAAAAAACTAAAAAATCACCCTTGGGATGTTATTTTTAACCCCCTTGGGGCACGTCTTAGAGTTGACCAATCGTCTCCAAATTTCGTACAATTTATTTTTTTATGCATTCGAATAATTCTAGGGGGTGGCACTTGGTAGTTTTTAAATTTTATAAATAAGGGTCACCCACCCTAGTGGACATTTATAATAATAGAAATATTTGACCCTTACACTTACCTATTTAAAAACTTTTACCTAAAATATAATTTTAATTTTTTTTTTGAAAATTTATTTTATTCAAATAATTTAAAAAATGTACATCTATACAAAATATATGCACAACCGTAAATGGGTTAACAGTAGTGAAAAAAAAATTACAATATGACTTGAATAGCATGCAGTAGGGGGGCACCCAATGGAACTACCTACTTTGAATTTTGTTTTTTGATTTCATTTTTTTTTTTTTCCTATAAGAGGTCTCTACACCATTTTCTTTTTAATCTTCTTGGCGGATTGTCGGGGATGTGTTTTGAATAGAGGTATTGAATATTAGGGTTTGGGTGAGAGTTTAATTTGTTATGAAGTTTTAGGTAAGCAGTTTTGGCAATATTGTTAACATAACTAATTTGAAGATCTAAATGGAGAGTTTTATTAGGGACGTACCAAGGGGAATTGGTGAGTGTTCGTAGGCAAATGGATTGAAAGGATTAGAATTTTAATTTAACACCGAATTTATTTATTTATTATATTTACTAATAATATAAATATAAATAAATAAATTTAAATTATATTATAAAATATACATAGCACTTTATTTTCGGAAATTTAAGTATTGTTGTTAATAGTGCATTAATAATTTTTAATTTAACTTGTATGCAATTATACGTACATTGTTTTTTAGAATTTGTGTAATTAAATTATTTATACAATTTTGGTGAATTACTTAAACTAAATTGACATCAAGTGAATTAAATTAACAAACTATAAATGTATGTATGTATAAATTATTGTTATAAATAAGAAATATATTAATTAAAAATAAATATTTTAATATTATAAATCAGATTGTAAAAATTCAAAATATTTATTTATATTATTACAATGAATTGCAAACAATTGTGATACAAAAACGTTCATCGAACATTACCTAAGAGGCCGTATAACTAAAACAATAGAAACTGTTTGACAATTCAAAAATAGGCCACCAGGTCTTTTAGGCGAAGCATCCAGATGATCAATACTATTAAATATCACGAATTGTATCTAGTTGAAGACATTGCCCTTAAAAATTGAAAAAATTTCCTCTTTCCCAGTATATTGGAAGTCTCAAAAGAAATTATAATTATTAAAATCGGTAAATTATGACATTTTTTTCTTAAAAGTGCCATACATTTTTGAAAATTGAACGAATTGAAATATAATTTTATTTTAAATAGAAACCTTAAGTATTTCCCTTTCATTTGATATAAATTTTTGAAAATCTATCACATGAATTAAAAAAAAGAAACATTTTTGGACCATTCCTAACGTCTAATGTTTTTGCAAACATTAACATCTAAACAACATATATAAATATTCTACAGAATTTTTTCCTACAACCTGAGACCTATTTTCTACCGAAGCTTAATTAATTCTTAATTTTTAAATTTAGATGTATTTCTAGCAAAAAAACCTGTTTTTGTAATCACAATAATAAAAAAACAAATTTTTTTATTATAATACTTAATTGTAGCTCTTAAAATCTTCTTATTATTAGTAAAATCCATATATAATACTTATAGTTAAAGGTTATCAAAAGTGACCACGTATAGTTGTCCTAGTTTTAAGAATTAAAATCTAAGATTTAAAATACAGTTATCGAATTATTCTAGGGGGTGGCACTAACAAATATTTAAAAAAAAAAACCTCTCAATGTAGCTAAGGGTCACCCTAATGTCCACCCTACATTAATTAATACAAGATAATAATTTTAATCACTGTCAGATATTATCTATACTTGTCCCAACTATCCTATGACTAAACTTTGCCACGACCTCACTGTGCTACCGTTCTTAAATTTTTTTAATTATTAGGATGATTGTACTCAGCCGATTTTCGCTTATGTATAAAACTATAATTTATCATTTTTGAAAAATTAAATAATAGTTACAAATTTATATTCTGTATTTAATTCATTTTTTTATGCATTAAATTTAACTCTAAGTATTATATATTAATATTTTAATATAACTATTTCATGATATTTGTTAAAACTAGTAAAATTGTTCACCTAAAAATGAACAAAATCTAAATAATTATATGATATTTTTATCGATTGATTTGTATTTGGTTAATAAAATATTATTTGAGTAAAAACCCTGTGGCGGATAATAAATCAGTTTACTTAGAATATTTACTATTTAAATACTAAAATGATACTATTTGATTTACATATATCTTTAATTTTTTACTAAATAAATTATAATCGTTTAAATTAGAAGCCAAGCATAGATATATATAATATATATTTGTACAGGTGATCAACTTTTGATATAAGTGACGTGTTTCTATTTTGTAAGATCATTGAAATAAGTTTTTACTACAGTATAGTGATACATAGTAATTAAAATGAGATTAATATTGTGCATTTGTATTATTCTAACAACCAATCGATATATAAATTCAACAAGTAAATTTGGAAATATTGATAACATAAAAAATGAAACAATAATTACTCCTAGTGGTTTTGTACTCTTTGGTAAATCCAATACATCCGATCGCAGTTACTTCCATTTTGCAAAACAAGTCAGACCATTGAAATACTTGTATTTATTCTTGCAATATGGTAAGTTAGTGAGTGAGTTTGAATCACCGAAAAATTTTGTAGACTTAATGATAAAATCCATTACAACAATAAATTCTAATTTTGAAATAAATAGGGTAAATAATTCGTATATAATTAATTTATTGCCTGTTCTGAATGATTATTATAACGATACTGAAAAACATTCAAATCCAGAAGCAATTAAAAATTTTTTTGAAGATATACATCAAACCATTTACAAATCGATTTTTGAATTATACAAAGAACATAATCCATTTGATTTGGTAAAAGATAAACAAATCGAAGATTTTATTAAATCGAATGATTTTTATGAGAGTATAATCAATTCATTATTTAAGGAATATTTTCCACCGTCTGAAAATTTTAATCAAGCGAAACGCAGAATGGCTCTAAACTTATTTGGTCTAACATTTTTTGCAGAGTACAATATTAAAACTAAATAAAAAATGTTATTTAATAATGGTAATAATAATAAATATTTTTTTAATAATTATATAAATATATGTTAAAAATGTTCGTTGCTGTTAAGTGACTCAATTGTAAACATTTTTGAAATATTCTACAAATAATTACTAAATATATTTCGTTTATTTTTATTGTATATTTATTAACCATGTTAATATTTGCATTAAGTTAGTAATTGTGTGAGAAATAAATCCTAATTGTTATCATTAATTCTTAAACTTTAAAAAAGTACTAATTCGTTAAATTGTGATATAATTTTTTGGCGAAGGTCGAAAATTTTCGACTATTGCCCGTGAGCGTTTTAAAATATTCACTGTTTTCGATAAAAATGCTTTCTGACGCAAATTTTTTTTTTTTTTTAAGTCTTGCTGCAAACCGAAGCTAAAAAGTAACGCAAATTATTTACTGAACAAATAGTTATCAAAGATTTATAGATATAAAATAAATATTATGATGTTAATAGGATCGTTGTTAGAACACAGTAAACGCCATAAAATATATGAGTCTATTTTTTTTATACAAATATAAATATTATTTAACTCTCACTGGAAAGTAAAGTAAATCTTAATATCTTACCTGTGGGTCCATTTAAATTTGTAGAAAATGGTGAACAAGCTGTCAAAGGTAGAGATAATTTCATGTTATTGCCGGTGCCTCCAATTATAATAGCTGGATCAGGTGGTGACGTTTTCATGTCTCTACATAAACTTGATACTGAGAAATCAGTGCACTTAGTTACTGAAGTAGAGTTGGCCATGATGAGAGGACAAAAACAAATTGACTTTATTGCTTCAGCTAGTACAAAAGCCTAAAACCACACAGACAACTGATTATTTAAAAAAAACTGGCTAATTCAGACTCTTTTATCATAATTATAAAATGTTTTCACTTTTACAGTGTCCAAACACTCTCAAATTATATTTGCTAGCTAAATTTGGGTAGTGACTGCATTATAATAAGTGCAAATCATTTATATTTAGTGTTAATCCCTCCAATATCTTATGTGAGTACAATGTGCACCAACATGATAAGGTCCTTGC